TCTGAATCACTGCTGTTTCAGTGGGCTCATGATTCTTGTTGGGTTTCCAGGGAATTTTGAAATAAAGCGGAGATGCTCTCCTAGGAAGGGGAATATAGCTTGAAGCACCTCCCAACAACTAGAAATCCTTTTGTCAAGCTGAATAATGGCTGGAATTCCCCCGATGTTCCTTCCCACCTTGTCACTCAGGTGTTTACTTGGAAGTTCTACACTGCATATTTGTAGAGATCTCTATGTGAGATACAGGAAATTTGTTAGATGTGGCTAAAATAACTATCTTTTTGGTTGCATTTCCTATCAAGTGGTCCTTTCTATTTTAATAATGAAATGTTTGGCTTAGGGGGATACTCCCATCTGAGCCCAAGTTGTGTGTCTTCAATGGTATAATGTTTCAATTTAAATACTCTGCTGACAGTTTAAACTCTATATATTTACAAACTACACTAATCATCTTCCCTTCTTAACTGTTTCCCGCTGTGAGTGGGAAACTATTACTCCAGTCACCTAACTTGAAACTTAGGAGTAATTTTTGACTCATTTAACTTTTGCCCTCTGAACCATATTCAATAAATCACCAAATCTCAAACGTTTCAGTGTGTCTCCCTGTGTGGCGTCCTCTTTATTCCCACTACTGCTGTTGTAGTGTTAAGGTCTCATTCTTGGGTAATTATTAAAAACTGGCTTCTCCTTCTCTAATCATTTTCCCATATATTGCCACCAGCTTAATCTTCCTAAAACATGTTGTCATTATGTCAGTCTGTTGCTTGAATACCCCATTGCTTACAGGATAAAAATCTGAACTTTTCTGAAGCCTGGCCATTTAAACCTTCATTGATTTTGTTTCATGTGAAATCTATATAATATTTGTTGTTTCACAGACTACATGGGATTTAGAACTGGAATAGACCTTGGAGATCAAGACTGCTCACTTTGATACCAAACCCAAGAATTCTCATCTGATGTTGTTATTTAAAATTTCCTCGGTGTAAAATTCCCCAGCAAAAGTTATTATTTAGAGCTGTGCCTTCCTATACCACCTAGCACAATGCTAATAAGTGCTTTATTAGAGTAAAGCATTGGATAGATTATAATGTAAATATCCACACAAGTGATAACCATTCCTTTTCAGTTACAAATTCTGAAAATGACTTTTTTCCCAAATCGAACCTCAGTATTTTCCAAATCAAACTTTGATTTTGTCTTTATATTTATTTTTCATCACTGAGACAGATTTTATAAATATTTTGCGTTATTCTGTAGTATTCTCTCTAGATAAATACATCCTTTGTGGTAACACACTTAACTTTTTTTTTTACTATATTTTATGATAAAGAGAAGTGAGTCAGCATTTCATAACAAAATTGCTTTCTTAAAAATGTACCTTTCAGAACAGCATTTTCCAAGGACTTGAAGTCTACTTTGTATATTTTAAATAACATTCAGCTTCCTAGTGCCATTTTGAACCAGGAGCAGGAAAATGAATTATTGTAATATCTGAGTGCTGTGTTTTGCCAGTTGACAACTACTGCAGTGTTCATGTCTAATTGTGATAATATATGTATCAATATGTGCAGTTGATTTTAAAAAATATAAACTAGAAAATGTTTAAATAGCACAGCAGTAATTTCAGTTTAAGCTTAGCCTTTCTTTATGCCAGGGCACTAAATGTTGCATTTTGAGGCTAGTATACCTAAATATCCATAATAACTATAGATAAATGAAGTCAAGTAATTCAAGAATTTCATTTTAGTGACTAGTTGGAAAAATCCCTGAAAATATTTTAACAGAATTATTTAGTAATAAAGTAGACCCAGTACAGTTCATTTCTGTTCCCTTCTCCTGCCACCCTCTTTGGGAGAGGTGTTAGTAGCGGCATAATAAATAAATTAGAATCATAGCACAATCCTTGAATAGTAGAAAATTTGTCTGTTACATGATAAACCACAATGCATAGCCATAGGTCATAGATTTGACTATGATTTTCTTTTCTCTTACCTAAGTAGATATAGTTTCATTCATTGTCTTTATATATTGTTGTTTAGTTGTTCTGCAGTTATGTCTGACTCTTCATCACCCATTTTGGGGATTTCGTGGCCAAGATCTCTCTCCGTCTCGTTTTTCAGATGAGGAAAGTGAGGCAAACAGGGTGAAGTAATTTTCCTAGGGCCACACATGTCTGAGGCTAGATTTGAACTCAGGAAGATGAGTCTTCCTGACTCCAAGCCCACACCATCCACTGTACCACAAAGCTGCCCCTGTCTTTGTATCCCTAGAATCTAGTACAATGCTTGGCACATAATAGGCACTTAATAAATGCTGGTTGATTGCAAATCAGTATATATGTATATATTCATGAATGCAGTCTAAGACTCCAAAAATGTTCGCTAGTCTTCCCTGTCACCTTGATTGGATGGTAAGGGACAAAGGAGAAAGTGATTGTGTAAAGATAGTGTTCTTCCCCGCACCGCTAGTAGCATTTTCCTACATATCAACTGTCAACAGGCAATCACAACGTCACGAGACTTATGTGAAAACCAGGTTTATTACAAGAGAAATGAACATGCTTGTGAAACCCAAAGGGTTCCTAGTCTTTACAGAAGTTTGCATTTTTATAATAGCAGGACAAAGGGAGGAGGGAATACCAGGAAGGGGTGTGACATGGAAGGGGTAATAGTGGAGCAAAGGTGGGAAGAAAGACAAGACCAGTCCCCACTGGGAGGAGCAGGGTGATGACAAAAACTTCATTCTTTTCCCTTGGAAGCTGCTAGACTGTGAAGATAGTTTGCTTATCTGCAAAGGACCCGAGCTACAGAAGTATTATCCCAGCCTGGCACAGACTGGCTGCTGCCTGTCTTGCCTCTCAAGAACAGGCAGGGAGTCCAGCTTGGGGTGCAACAAGAAATTATGTCAGGTCAGGGGGAGCTTTGTCCTTTGACACATTCAGGGCCTTCTGCATGCTCTGAGTCCAGTGTTTCTGGAAAATACGGCAACTCAAAAGACAAGTTCAGGGGACCACTTAAGAGCCCTTAACACAACTGACTAACAAAACTTGCTAGTGGAGTCTTAGAAGGTGAAGAAGGTTCCCAAAGGGGTATCAGGTTCTGAACTACACTGATATTTTTCAGAGGAGTCATAGTAGCTTATCTGCAATATATGGAAAGGAGACCTAGTTTCCTAACTGGATACCACATGCTACTTGCTGCTTTACCAGTGCCAGCTATAAGGAAGCTAGACTCAATATGAAGTAGAAGATCCCCGAGGTTCTAGCCCTTCTTCCTGCCTTCAAGTAGCTAAGTTGATATTGTCCACATTTTACAGATGAGTCAACTAAGACAACTAAGGGTAGCCAAAGAGTTTAAATGACAAAGTCTCATAACAGAGTCAAAGGACTGGTGATAACTTGAATTGCAGTCCTCTGGGAGTATCTTTTCTGCTATACCAACTGAATTTGTAAGTTAGATAAATTCAATTCAGCGTTCATTAAGACCTCCTTTTGTATAAAACATTGCACTCAGTTGCATGTCATTTTGTCATTCTTGGTGCTCATTAGCCTTTTCATGTTAAGTCTAGCTTGATGGTTGTTGATTAAACAGCTGAGGTAGCCATCAGTCTTAAATAACTCTCTGTACTGCAGGTTGGACACTATTCCTGCTCTGCAGAGTATCAGTTTCATGTGGAAGCTGGTAGTATTTTACTCTGCTACTGTGTTCATGTCTTCAGAAAGCATGCTGGATTCTTTAAAATTCAGTCTGTGCTTCTTTGGGCCATTTATTAGCAAAGAGCATATTCAAGTAATAACTTTCAACTTTACGTTTGTGGTAAAAGTCTTTCTGTGTTTTGGCAGTGTTTTTTTCTGATTTTGGTTCAGACTTGTACATTTTTCTTCAGAGTTATCACTTTGTAGGATTGTACTAATTCAGAAAAATAATCAGTGATATCTTAATGTTGTATCTGTTTTAAGAGTATAGTTACCTACATGTACCACCTCTTAAATGTACAACAAAATGTAGTCATTCTTATTTGAAGGAATTGCTTTATGCCTTTAATCAAATTATATGTGTATATATAATGTGTAAATGTATATATACATATATACACATAATACATATACATATATACACACATACAAAAAGCATGTTGCAAACTTTAAAGCACAATATCATGTTAGCTATCATGAATTAAAATAAATATTCTTGAAATGTAACAGGTATTTTACAAATGCTTGTTGATTAATTGAAATACTTGTCTTTGAATGAGTGGCTAGTGTTGGGCAGACCAGTCATTAATTATTGATAAAGTCACAATTATTACTGCTTAGGTACGTTGGAAAGATAAAATCAGAATAAGGAAATGCAGCTTCCCTGTTGCATCACAGCCCCCTTCCCCCCAAAAAAAAGTAACCCCAAGAGAATAAGAGTCACTAAACAAATAGGTCAGTTCTCATTTCTGATGTCATAATTTTGTTTATAACTTTAACTTTTCTATATGTAATACATTTGTTCATGAAAATAGCATTTCTTTATATTTGTTAATTTTATTCCAAAATTAGGAAAATTATTGAACTAAGACTTTGTTGACCTATGTATAAGATCTCATGAGATTTTATTGAAGATGAAAGTATCCTTGATCAAAGCTTAGCAAGTAACTATAGAATTTAAGTGAAACACTAGATAGAACGTGAGAACTTCTATAATCTCTTTAAAGTTAAAGAATACAAGAAATTAGTAATAGTAGTACTTTTGATTTCCACACACAAAACAAAAATCTTTATATTTTGAAAGACATTAAAGTAATGACTAAATTTAGCGAAAAAAAGTTTCTAGAAGTATATAAATTGGATTTAAAAGGTACATTTGTTACTCTGTTGTAGGTATCAGAAAGATATCAGCAAGATGATTATATTTTAATAATTCAACTAAATAGATTTCTTCAAAATGAAAACCATTTCATTTTTGCCTAACATGAGGAGTTTCTTAAAAATTATTTTCTTTCTTTTACAGCAAAAGAAGCAAAAAAGGAGATAAAAATGGAAAAGGCTTGAGACATTTTTCAATGAAAGTATGTGAAAAAGTTCAACGCAAAGGAACAACTTCGTATAATGAAGTGGCTGATGAGTTAGTATCAGAGTTTACCAATTCAAATAATCATTTGGCAACAGATTCAGTAAGTAGATCATAAACTTGACATTGAATATGTTTACTGCAGCAACAATATTATCTCCTTTAAAGTACGTCTTAAATGTGGAGAGGTCAGAAATATTTAAGAAACCTCCTGCTTTATTCTCCCTAATTTCAGCGTTCTAGATAAATTTTTAAAAATCTTATAAAATTTAGTTTTCCTTTTGAGATCAGTATATCTATAATTTTTCCATTATGTATTTAAAAAACTAAAAAAAGGCACTAGGAGAGAGAAAAAACAAAACAAAACAAAACACCCTGAGATGCTCATGGAAGTTCTGTCTGTCAACGCTGGAGCCTGATCACAAACTTGATATTCTGGGTATAACTCGTGGCACAGCTTACTGATGTGTAGAATATTCTTCTTCTTCCTGAGCCCTTGGGAAACAGCCCCTGGGTAGTGCCTACTTATGGCTGCAGAAGGGTTGGAAAAGGCATACTTTAGTGATAACTGATGGCAAGATGGGAACATCTTTAGGGGAAGTGACAGCAGTGGGAGCCCAAAAGACTCATAAACATGGAGATCTTGGTATCACCATAAAAGTTCTAGCTTTAACTGAAGAACCACATACGTGCATGCTTCCATCCATCCAAACACACAGATCAGTGAGTTATGAGTACTGAGCAACTAAATATTAATGTTACAGAGGAATACCTTGGTCTCCTCCCACTCTCAGACACCCTAATGTAGGGTAGCGTTTAAAAATTAATCTGGGATTCTGGTAACAGCAAATATAGTTTGGCAGAAGTAGATGAGTTGCTCTGTGAGAATTTTAAATATTCTTGGTTTTCAGATTAGAAATTTTTTTAACTATACAAAAAATTAGAGCCAGGATATGTCTTACTCTAGCAATCGTGAATAAACCCTAAGTAAGCATAACTTAAAAATAATTGAACATAAGTTTTAAATATTTTTTTGCCTGCCACAAGAGCTTGCTCTCTTTAACAACAGAATTTTGAAATCTGTTCTGAGATCTTTTTAAGAGCCACAAAATTTATGTAATGACAACTTTTTAACCCCACAGCTATAACTGGGGTGGAGTGTATGCATGTGTGTAATTTCAGGAACACTTATTTTGTTTTCAGTCTTTTAATTTTACATATCTGATACAAATTTTTAAGCAGGATTTCTGAATTAGTCATCAATTGTCTTCTCAGAATGTTGAATAATATTTATAGTAATAGTATGAGTAACAGTACTAGGATGTATGTGTGGGACATAGCATCGTCAAAGGTAATCTGAAAGATAGTCTAGTAATAGTTTATTTGTAGTAATACCAAGTGGTGTACAAAGAAAAAAATTACGCAAATTAGACTTGTTATGAATTTGTTAACATAACCTGAGAACCAGGTGTTGTTTGGAGTTCTGACATTGATTTGTTGGATAACCCGACACAGATTTGGTAAGCATTCACAGAAGTGCCACCTAATCATATTGGTCACATGGGTATGGAAAGAAGTGTTCCTAACATAGTGTGAACCTGAGCCTGTTAGGTTTGATCAGCCATATCCCTGCCTTGAATTACCCTTAGAAATATGGCATTCATTGTCTTCTAACTTTACCCTCTGAGTGCACAAAGAGCCAATACCTATCTCATACTTCGGGTTTATTATGTCTATTAAGTGTCCATGTGTGGTAATGGCATGTAGTGTAGTATTATGACTCATAAGCTAAAGAGAATTAGTCAGTGATTAAAAGAACGTGGGTCTTGTATAAGAATTGTATAAGATATTAATGAGTAGACTATACTTAGAATTTTTAGATGAGCTTCATCACCTTTGTCCCAGAAAGTTTGACATTACTAGCATTTTGTTTTAAGGTGATAGCTGGAGAAATTATTCAGTATTCATACAGCAGGAATATATACTTTAGTTATTGGGCCTTATTCTTCAAGTTCCAAAGGAGTAGATTTCTCATTAACTAGATACCTTGTGAAATACATTCAGTAAACTGATTTTTCCCATGCACTAAGTAGTGATCTCATCTTGAGAGAATTAATGGGCAGCTACATGGCGCAGTGAATAGAGCTCTGGCCTTGGAGTCAGGAGGACCTGAGTTCAAATCCAGCCTCAGACACTTAACACTTAACTAGGTGTGTGACCCTGGGCAAGTCACTTAAACCCGATCGCCTCACCAAAAATTAAAAAAAAAAAAAAAAGAAAAAAGAATTTTCTTTCAGGGGCAGCTAGCTGGCACAGTAGATAGAGCACCGGCCCTGAAGTCAGGAGGACCTGAGTTCAGATTTGGTCTCAGACCAAACACTTGACACTTATGAGCTGTGTGACCCTGGGCGAGTCACTTAACCCCAGTTGCCTAAAAAAAGAAAAGAGAATTAATGGTACTTCCAGGAAATGAGTGATTTATTTCCTTCTAATCCTCAATCAAACCTTTCTTTTAAAAAAAATTATAAATGTCTTTTAGTTCACATAGCTCCTTTAGTTCTGAATGTATTCCTCCCACTTCTCCTACTTGATGAGCCATCCCCTGTAACAAAGATTAAAAAGGAAAGAAGAAAAAAAGTAGTTCAATAAAATCAGTTAGCACATCAGGCAGGCACGTCTGACAACATATGTTATATTCGGGGCAGGTCGGTGGCACAGTGGATAGAGCACCGGCCCTGGAGTCAGGAGGACCTGAGTTCAAATGCGGCCTCAGACCAAACACTTAACACGTACTAGCTGTGTGACCCTGGGTGAGTCACTTAACCCCAATTGGCTAAAAACAACCAAACAAATAACAACAACAAAAATATATGTTATGTTCCACACCCACCTCTGAAAGAGGACAGAGAGTTGTCTCAGGTGACAAACTTAATTCCACAGTGTTTGGTTTCAGTTCTTCTGTTCTGTTTACAAGGTTATAGTATAGTCATTGGATGTAGTATTTTTTTCCTGGTTCTGCTTTTTTCATTCTGTATCAGCTCATATAAATCCTCTATGCTTCTGTGAATTCTTCATATGTGCCTTTTCTTGCAGCATGGTAACATTTCATTGCATTTGTGTATCACAGTTTCTTCAGCAGCTTCACACTTGATTGGTACCTGCTTTGTTTCCAATTCTTTGCTACCACAAGAAATGCTGCTGTGAATGGTGGTTGTATGTTTGACAGTTTTCCCTTTATACCAGTATTTTTCAAACTTTGCGTTTCCTATTTCCTGTTTTCACAAATAAAAATACTTCATAATTTTATCACAGTGCTATGAGATTTTTCTTCTCTTCCATTATAATTTTTCACAGATTCCTTTCCCTTTTGCCAGTGTCATAACATAAATAAAAATTCTGCCTTCATTTAAACTTCCCAGCTCAATGAAACCTTTTTTTAGCAGGCTTATGATCAGAAGAATATTAGACGAAGAGTTTATGATGCCCTCAATGTGCTAATGGCAATGAACATAATTTCAAAGGAAAAAAAAGAAATAAAATGGATTGGGCTTCCTACAAATTCAGCTCAAGAATGTCAAAACCTAGAGGTAAGAACAAAATTGTTTGGTTTTAAATAATATAATTTTATATTATCTTCATTTGTGAAAGAATTTTCATCTAATTGTAATATATTTTCATTATTATCTATATTTTTTCATATTTTATATTATTTTCACAATTATTTAGAAATTGATTATATTGAATTTTTAAATCTATGTAAGCAATACCAATAGATAATTTAAAGTATAGTTGATATATTAGGCAATAAATAATTGTTGATTGATTTTATCATTTTTTCTATAGACACTAGAAAAAATTAGCTATAACTTGTTGAATAAATACTAATCTACAAAATGGAGAAAATAGCACCACCTTCCCTGGGTTTTTGTGAGAATAAAATGAGATCATACTTGTGAAGGACTTTGTGAACTTTAAAACACTACATGCTAGCTATTACTACTATTATTATTATTATTATTATTATTATTATTATTATTATTATTGATAATAATAATCAATTAACTACCATAATTTTTAGTAAAAAAAAAAGCATTTAGAAATCAGCCGTTTGACATTTATTAAGCACCTACTATGTTCCAGGCACTATATTAGGTGCTAGAGATAAAAATACAATAAATGGAAACAACCCGGACTCACAAGGATGTTACAATTCTGATAGGGAAGAAAGCAGACATATATAAACATATGTGGAAACTGTAAAGAGAAGAAATGCAAATGAATACAAAGTAGTTAAACACAAGGTAGTGTAAGAGGTATAGCCCTAGCAGTTGAGCTCGTGTAGGAGGTGGTACTTGAACTGAATCTTGAAAAAAGAGAGAGGATTTTATAAGACCATGATGAGCAGGGAGGAGAGAAACTTAAAATAGCAGAATATTCAAAAAGAATAACAATATGATCTCATAATTAGTGATTTTGAGAATATTTTAAAGTGTTTCCTATTTCTTTTTAGCAGTATTTTTTAAATTCTGGATTTAATGAATATCCAAAAAAATGAACATTTACATCTGTGAAATAAAGAAAATGTAAATGTCCTATGTAAAACTGTGAATCTATTATGTATAACTTGGGTTTTTAAGTATATAATAAACTCAGTATGTTATTTTCAAAACTGTTCTACTTATCTGTGTTTCCTTCTGAACTTCCTTCTGTTCTGTGCATTTTTAAAAATGCTTCAGTGACCCTTTTTCTTTCTTTCTTTTTTTTTTTTGGTGAAACTATTGCTAGCCCCCACCCAATCCCTTCCAAATTTCTCCCCCAAATGGAAAAAAAAGAAAAGAAAAAGAATCCTTTCACAAAGGTACATAATCAAATCAAACATCCACACATTTGCTGTGTCCAAAAATGTGTGTCTTATTCTGCACCTTGGGTTCATTACTTCTGTCACTAGAGGTAAATATGCTTCATCATCAGTCCTATAGAGTCATGATTTGTCATTGCATTGATCAGAATTCTTTCAAAGTTGTTTTTTTCATCAGTTGTTTTTAACATCTACATTTTTCTGCTGGTTCTGTTTACCTTACTCTGGAACATTTCATACAAACCTTCTTGGGTTTCTCTGAAACCATCCTTTTCATCATTTCATTAGTCCAACATTGTGGCATTTATATTACAGTAGTCATTTGGCCATTCCCCGTTTGATGAGCATCCCTTCAGTTTCCAGGTCTTGGCTATAACAAAAATATTTGCTATGAATATTATTTTTTATATATGGGTCCTTTCTTTTTTTGATCTCTGTGGGTTAATCCCAGTTTAGTGATTTTGGCCATAGTTCCAAATTGCCACATCACACTTGTTGACCTTATGATGACATTGCAGACCACTAAAACTTTTCACTTTTCACTCACATAGTTCCATCTTGTATTTTGTAGCTTATTTTTTAACCCAATTTTAGAACTATATGATAATTTCCTATTATATTTGCTTATTCTACCCAGCCAATCATCCCAGCCTGTGGGGATCTTTTCAGCTATCTGAATTTAGTTATCCAGCATATAAGCTACATTTTGTGCCATCCTCAAATTTAACAAACTTTCCATTCCTGCCTTCGTCAAGCTCAGTGGTAGAAATGTTAAACTAAACAAAGCTAAAAACAGATACCTGTGGCATTTTAGCAAAGATCTCACTTTCTCCGTACCACAGCAGCTCAGTATCTATTAATCAACAATCAGATCCAGTCATTCAGTCAGTTTTAAATCCATCTAATACTATCATCTAGCCTACGCTTCTCCATGTTTTCCACTGTACTTCTTAAAATTAAATTTTATTTTCAGACCTCTATTCTCTCACCATGTTGTTTTGAGAAACTTTACCAGATATCTCATTGAAATAATAATAATAATAATAGCAACAATAATAATACTAATTAGCATTTATGTAGTATTTTATAGTTTGCAAAGCACTTTATAAATATTGTCTCATTTTATCCTTGCAGCAACCCTGGGAGGTAGATGCTTTTGTTATCCCCATTTCATTTATTTATTTATTTATGTGTTTGTTTATTTGTTTATTTACTTATTTATTCATTCATTCATTTATTTATTTAGCTAGCTTGCTTTTTGGTGAGGCAGTCAGGGTTAAGTGACTTGCCCAGGGTCACACAGCTAGTAAGTGTCAAATGTCTGAGGCTGGATTTGAACTCAGATCCTCCTGACTTCAAGGCCAGAGCTATCCACTGCACCACCTAGCTGCCCCTGTCCCCATTTTACACATGATGGAACAAGCATCAAAATTTTCAGTGACTTGCGAAGATCCACACAGCTAGGAAATATCTGAGGCTGGATTTGAACTCAGGTCTTACTGAATCCTAATCCTGTGATCTGTTCATAAAACCACCTCGCTACCTCTTTACACAGATACACAAAATCCTTTTTGTTTTTTCCTTAGAATAAGTCTTTCTTCATTCTTAATAATAGTAATATTAAGACACTCTTATGTACCTTTGGTTATCATCTTGCTTCTGGCCTTGCCCCTAACCTGATCTGTTTTTAAAAATTATTTTATTGATATTTTATTTTGGTGTAATTAACACTATCCTCAAATACTTAAACCTCGTAAAACAGATTTACTGAATAAGAAAAACATTAAAGAAGTAACAGCCTGTTGATGTACATCACTTAACATTTTTATAGTTCATAGATTATTAGCAAAAGGAAGAATGTATGCTTTAATTTTAATTTAATCATCTGGTACCTGGGTTATCCATTATTTTTCAGTTCCATTAGGCAGAATTAACCAGTTTTATTGCCTTTTCTGTTATCTGTCTTTGTTTTGTTGTAGTCATTATATGATTAATTAGTTCCTCGTTTTGTTTTCCTCCATGTTTCCTCCATGACTATACATATTTCTCTGAAATTTGCATGCTTTTTTTTTCATTTCTTATGTTGCAGGACTGTACCATATATATATGCATATCTGTATCACAACTTAACTCAGTTTTTCCTCGATCCTAAGACTCATTTTTGTTATTATGAGTAATGCTAGTATGGGTGTTTTTGTACGTGTGTGTGTGTGTGTGTGTGTGTTTTCTTGCTATTATTAGCATCTTTGAGTTATATAAACTCAGTTGTGGATTGTTTGGGTCTTGAACAATTTCATATTGTTTTATAGAATTCACAACACCAGCAGCAGTAGATTAGTCTGTCTTTCCACAGACCCTTTTCATCCTTTTACCATCTTTTCTAATTTGAAAGGTGTGAAATATTTCAGAATAGTTTTAAATTTGTGTGTTTTCATGATTTTTAGTGATTTTGAATAGTTTTTCAGATGGTCAATCATAGTTTAATTTTCTTTTTTTGAAAATTTTCAAATCCATTGATCACTATTATTTTTTAGGACTGACTCTTAATCTTTGTCAACTTCGTATAGGTTTTCTTACCAACCATCTTCAAATCTAAATTCATCATAAATTCCACTTCAGATGCTTTTCCTTTTCTTCCTCATCAAAATCATTTGTGATGGGGCCATAATGATTTTTTGCTTGAACCTACTTACCTTTTAGTCTTGTGGAATCATATACCTCTTGTCTGAATTTTTTGAAACCTATAACCATAAAAAGCTGAAATTATCCCATACACAATTAAAATGTAAAACATTCATTCATTCTGTGCCCTCTTGTTAAAGCAGAAATTTAAGAAACCTTCCTGAATTAAACTTTGTCACGGAATGTTGTTTTTTAATTTGGTTTGGGGATAATTTTATTCTAATGGCCATAAATATAAATATAGAAATATAGATAACTCAAGCTGATTATATAGCTGTTGAGGTAATTAAGGTTGATTTCATGTTTCTCTCAGATCTAAAGTAATGTGTGTTCAACCTGTCTGTGTCCAGTCACAAGGAATTGTGACATGTGAAAGTTAAAAGAAGAGGATCTTTTCTCTGAGTTTTTCTTGATTTTCTTTAAGGAAAAACAAAACAAAACGGAAGGTCTTCCTTGGCTGCTGCTAAGGCAAGCTAGATACCAAAAATGACTCCAGCACAGCTAGAGACCTTTAACTGACTTCTTTAGATAGCTTGCCATCGATAAACTCAAGGAATTAGTTGATCAGAATGCCTCCTAAACAAAAATTATTATTTTATATCAAAAATGAGATTGGAAATATGAAAGATGAAATGTTCTGATACCTAGCTAGAGCAACACCAACTTAGGCAGAAGTGCCCAGAAACAGCGCAGAAGAGGCCAGCAACTCTAGTAAACGGTGTTTGGTGGAGCCCGGGAAGAGAAATGTTTGGGAAAAGCCAGGAGATAGAGGAAGAGCCAGGCCAAAGTAAATAACTGTTATGTTCTTTGTGGGGAAACGGTGAAAATGTTGTCTGCAAATGGGGAATGTGTTGCATAGTATTGGTTCTTAGATTAAATGTTGGAGACAAGTGATGTCGTCTTTATTAACAGTTTTGCTAATGTTGCTAACTTTTATGTCATTTTATTCAGCCATCACACTATTGGACATGTTATACTTGACTGGCTATTAAAATTTTAGCAGTAGCTTTAAAGCATAGGTGGATTTTGCTATTAATGACAAGTGCTACACTGTCCTTGCTGTCACAGAAAAGAGAATGAGTAAGGAAGCTAAAGTACATCCTTATTCTTAAGTTTAATTATATTGATGTTATTTGTAATCCGTGTTTTAAAGATAGAGAAGCAAAGGCGAATAGAGCGGATAAAGCAGAAGAGGGCTCAGCTGCAGGAGCTGCTACTGCAGGTATGTGGGTGTTGCTTGTGATTTGTCCATGCGTGTGTGTGTGTGTGTGTGTGTGTTCTGTTTCCATTGACTTAACTTCCTCTGTAGAATGCTCAGAATTGTTGACTTGCAGATGCTTAGGGAAAGCAGCAGTAGTCTTTCCGCCCAGGGGTGTCTCAATACCACTCAGGTCTCAGCCTTCTTCTGCCTCTTGGTCTTTGGAAATGATTCAGCTTCTTGCAATTTATATTTGCCTTTTTCTCACAGAAGTTTGTTCACCCTATGAAGGATTTACATTGAGAAATGTAAATGTTTTACTCCTATCATCTACTGTCATTCTGGACATAAACCACTGTAAAGGCTCCTTGATAACTGGTTACAATTTAGAGCAATTACAATGCAGAATCATAGAAGCCTCTTCTCGCTATGATATAGAAGTATCAGAACTTGAAGTACATTTCTGCTTAAGAAAAAGAAGTGTAGTATTTAAATAAGGATCCCTGTATTTGTAATTGTTTGGATTACCACTAAGGGTTTGGATGCTTTTTGAACATAATGGAATCTTTGTATAAAATCATGTGAGTTAGAGTCACAGGGTGGTTGGGCCAAATAACCTTTTTTTGCCTTTGATTATTATAATTGGTGTAAAAATGCACTTTGAACAGTACAATAATGCCATTTTCTCTACAAGCAGAGAAACTTCAAATAGAGCCAGAAAAGGCTTTGAGACTTTTGTCTTTCTCAGCACAAAGTTGTAGCCATTATTATTGGTTGCAAAAAAATTTAAATATATGTAAATACATAATTCAGGCTTAAATTATTTGATTTTTTGACTGCTTAGGTAATCATTTTTTCCTGTATGATCAAAATATTCTTTACCTGTTTGATTTCTCTTATAATTTACTGAATTTTTCATAGTAATAATAATACCTCACATAGTGCTTTAAATTTTATAAAGTACTTTCCTCACAAGTCTGTGAGATAGAGAAAAGTAAATAGTATTGCAAATTTTTTAAGATGAGAAAAGGCTTACAAATATTAAATGACTAGCCAGTTGTCACACAGGACTTGGCCTCAGGTCTTCTGACTCCAGATCTGGTTCTTTTTCCACCATACATTCTATCATCCTCACAAATGAAAGAAGTAATCTTACTGAAAGCGGTTTCTTGATTTTTTTTTCCTGCTTTAATTTTTTTATCCAATATGTATGGCATAGGTAAATCAATTCTACAGGAATTTGATTAATATTTCAAATGATTATTCTTACTCCTTTTATCTTCTTAGTCTAATGTCTCAGGAGATAACATAGGAAAAAAGAGAAAAAGCAAAAGAGAGGAATAGATAGATAGAAAACAGAGTTGAGAAAACAGTGTTACTAAATGGCTCGTGTGTTGTGATAATAAAAACCTTTGTGAAGATTTGGGGAACACTGGATAAGAAATAAGTTCCCGAGTTAAACCAGCTTTTTACTAGTTTAAATAATTGTTATTCTAATGTCCTGGTAGACAGCTTATTTGACCATTTACTTAATTCACTTCAGTATATGTGCCCTGGCAAGAGAAAGACATATTCCTTCCTGTAACTTGTCTCTCCTTTCTCTTGGTACAGATGATTTGCCAAGAGTTCCTAAGCTGCCATCTTTCCCACTTCTCACCTTAATTTTCATTTTTCTTCATTTCATTTCAATTCTCATTGATCCTTATATCTTACAGCCATTCATATATCTTAACATAATTATCTGTAGCTTTCATTCACCTTCATTACACCTTCATTCATTGTCCCCAAGTGCTTTCCATAGTACACCAAGGATTGGAGGTGGTAAAGATTGTCTTACTGGAATTGACTCAAAACCTTAAAGCCAAGCTTGTTGTTTCAAATTCTGACACTCAGAATTGTTTAAAACTTACTACTTTTAACCTCACGCTTCATCCTAAAGTTGCTGTCTTAAAGACATGGCCTTGAACAAGCCCCTGGTGATTTATGCAGTTAGTCTGAGGAAAGATTTCTGTCCTGTGTGGCCTATCCATTAGATGTTCAGCCAGAAGGATCAGATTGAAAAAAGTTCCCATTGTTGCTTTTCCTTTTTTTTTTTAATACCACAATCAATAGACTAGTAATGACATAGCAGCCTAATTTATTTGGCACCTTACAGCTTACAAAGTATTTTTCTAACAACAACCCCATGATTTAAGTAATGCTTATCCCCACATTTAGGTAGCTTATCCCCACAAAATTTGTGTATAAATTGTCCCACTGAGATTAAGTAGGAGAAGAAGGTGCAGGTCTGGCATCTGTGGCCATGAGCAGGCAGGGGACAGGAGGGCTAAGTATACTTACTGGCCTTTTTTTGTTCCGTTAAGGTCATCAGAGTGTGGGGAACAGCTTCTGTCTTCTCTAAAATGGTGAAGTGATCTTAATTACCCTCATGGTTGTATCAAGAAACACAGCCCATCAGACTCCTGTTTCCCAGACATACTATGGATGGCTATTTTTCCTTGTGAACTTATGCATGCATGTTCCAAATGGTACCCGTATGCTTTATAACATGATACATGCATGTAGCTAGACAGACCAGTTTTTTTAATTAGATATGTCTATACCATGCACCTAGCAAAGTTATAATAGTGAGACTAGTGAACCAAAGCCCTTTCTGCAGAGTAATTCACATACGAGCTAATATAGATGTTAGTAAATGGTTGAACATATATATCATACAGCTTCTTTTTACATAGTTATTTGTATGTTGTCTCCCTGTTTAGACTGAGAGCTCCTTGAGAGCAGGAATGTCTTGTACCTTTCTTTGTGCTCCAGCATTTGGGGAGAAGGAAAGAAACAAGCATTTATTAAGTGCCTACCATATGTCCAGCACTGTGGTAAGTACTTTACCAATATTAGCCCATTTGGTTCTCATAATAACCCTGGAAGGTAGGTGCTATTATTATCCCCAGTTCACAGTTGAGGGAGCTGAGCCAGACAGAGGTTAAATGCGTGTCCAGGGTCATAGAGCTAGGAAATATCTGACGCTGGATTTGATCCCAGGTCTTCCTGACTCCAGGTCCAGCGCTCTAGCTTAGTGTCACCCAGCTTAGCGCAGTGCTGATATATAATAGGTGCTAAATAAATGTTTAATGACTGAGTAATTGAATGTTATTGTTTCCTTAAAAAAAAACATTTAGATGATGCAATTTCCTTTTGAAGTTACAATGTAGGTAAAATGATTTTTTAAATTCACTTTTCCTCTTGGAGACATGGCCATTGAACCAGTTATTCTTCTTTAGTAACTTCTTGTAGGTTCATCTTATTATAAATACATTGGTGTAGGTACCTTAAAGAATTGACAGCCTAAATTAACTGTCTGGTTTTAAATTTATTCTAAATCACATGAAGTTACAATTTCTTAATCACATCCACTGATCCCATTCCTTTACTATTATTCTTACTTTAGCAAATAGCTTTTAAAAATCTGGTACAAAGGAATCGGCAGAATGAACAGCAGAACCAGGGCCCACCAGCTCTGAACTCCACAATACAACTGCCTTTTATAATTGTCAACACAAGCAAAAGAACTGTCATAGACTGCAGCATCTCAAGTGACAAGTAAGTGTGAATAAGGTGGGATGGGGTTTCATTTGGGGAAGCAAACGCATCTTCAAATTCATGTCAAAGAGACTTCATGCCGGCACAGGAACTCTGATCTGATGACTTAGGACAGCCAGCAGCACGTGGCAGTGATGGCATTCTGCTTCCATTCATACAGCCTCCTCTGGCTATCAGTATTTATCACATAGTACAGAGTGAGAATGCATTTAGGAAATCACATGTTGTTCGTGCTTGGTAATTGAAGAGGACCAATGACATCACAACGTTGGAGTCAAAGTACAGTGTGTTTGACTGTGGCTTGACCAATCCAATATGAGCTCAAAAGACTCTGCCACAGATCGGGCACAAATAGTCTGTTAGAACATTTGGGAGGGAGATCTCTCTGCATTTACACAGCTCATGTTTCCATTGTGCTACTTTGATTCTACTCTGCTTATAGAACACAGTGCCTTCTTTGATGTGAGTGCACCTGTGCGAGCATCTCCACAATTAATACTAAGGTTCTTCTTGAGAGAATCCTTGTATTGCTTCTTCTGACCTCAGTGTGAGTGCTTGCCTTGTGTGAGTTCTACATAAAGTAGTCTTTTAGGTAAATGTGCATTTGGCATTTGGGCTACATGGCGAGCCCATGAGAGTTGCACTCTCTGCAGTAGAGTTTGAATGCTTGGCAGTTCAGCTTGAGAGAGGACCTCAGTGTCTCGTACAAATCACATAGTAAATAAAGGAAAGGGTTTAATTCACTCTATATTCTAATAAGAACATTGTGTCTTGATGCCACTTTATAACTATATGTAATTCATTTGGGGGTTGTGGTGAACTGCAGGCTCCAAGTGAAGCCACAGAAGGATTGGCAGCCAAAGAAAGATGTGATAAGGCTTCAGCAGGACAGTCGTAGGTCAAGAACACGGAAAAGGCAGTCTTGCTGTCCTCTGCCCTCCTCAGTGTACCTGGAGCATTGTGTTTATCTTAGACACCACATTTTAGGAAGGGTGTTAAGAATATGGAAAGGGTCCAGAAGAGGGTGGTGAGAGACCTTGAAAACCCGCTGGATGAGGATTGGTTGAAGAACCTGTTATGGTGGTTAGCCTCATGAGAAGAGTAAAGGAGCCTTGGTAACTGTCCTTCAAAGACTTGAAAGGTCTGTCTTTTGGCAAAGGGATTAAATTTGTTGTGCTTGGCCTCAGAAAGCAGAACTGGAGCAGTGAGAAGTTCAGAGGCAACAAATCTCAGTTTAAACTGTGGAAAAACTTCTTCACAATTAAAATTATCCAGAAATGAAATGATCTGCCTGCCAGAGGAAGTGGTGGGCTCCCCCTCATGAGGGCTCTCCCAGGGAAGTCTGGATGACCACGTATTTAGTGATGGGATTCCTAATCAGGTCCATGTTTGATTAGATGGTCTCTTCCAACTCTGTGATTGTTTGATACTACCAAAACATGTATCTTTTGTGCACCTTTATATTAATTGCACCTACTTCTATTGCATGAAAATCATTGAGTGTGAAAATGGGAGGTAGATTATCCCTAAAGGCAAGAAATATTTTGTTTTTGTTTTTTTTCTTAGCACCTATCACAACAGATGCCTGAAACATAATAGGCATTTGACAATGCTTTTCTAATTGAATTGAATTGAATTGTGTTTGATTGAGTCTGATAGACTGTTGCCACATAGAGGAAAAATGACACTTTAAAAAATCTCAGCTCATTTTTTCTGGCATCAGAATAATGTAAGTCACTGGTATTCCAGCCTGTGGCCTAAGGGCCATTTTGGAGACATCAGAAATCCCCATGGGCTTGCTGTCCTTTTCTTCTTCCTGTTATTTTGCTTTGCTCTTTAGATCTCCTTTACAAACTCTGCTACGTTCTTATTCTTAGTGCTGGGCACCTGGGTCAACTAATGAGAGGGAGCAGAATTTTTAAAAAGAGAAGTGATAACCTTAGGGGTAGCAGTAAAGAAATGCTTACTCTACAAATTGCCTGAGAATATACTGCAGTACGTTCTGTAGTATTTGAACTCCTAAAAAGGTTACATGTGAACACATGCATTGTTTCCATATCATACTGATAGATATGATTTTTGGAAATAGTCTAATCCTAGGAGAAACCACACACATAGAACTTTCCTGCCTGAATCTTGATTGTTTAAGATTAACCCTTTCAGAGTCAATTTAATAAAAAAAATACTGCTCAGAAACGGCATCATTTAAAAGTCACACAGTCTTGTCTGTGGCTATAAGGTAATGCTAAAATCCTTAGCATTAACCCTTAGAATCTTTCCATTGAATTGCTGAGCTGAGTTCTTGCATGTCACCTTGGTGTTTTTGCACAAGCTGAATTGACCTTGTTTTTGTTTATCCCACGATTTTGTGTGTGTGATAATGGTTTGAGGCAAAAGCACATACTCGTATTGAGGACTTTTGTTCTGTGTGTGCTGACTTCTTAAAGTTGTTAGGGCTCATAGAGTCAGCACACTATACGAGACTGTTCCTAATGTGGGCATTCTTTAAACTGATATTTCAGATAGTGGCAAGTATTAAAATGATCTATTAGAAATCAGCCTCACTAAGAGTCTCTCAAGAATACCATTGTCATGTTTTGGAAGTTATCAGTCAGCATTTTACTGGTCGCTGAAGTATGGTACTTTATAAAATGTTTCATTTGATTCCTCTTCACAGTGTATTTGAGGATTAAGGAGATGGCAGAAACTTTGGCAGCTGTGGATCTACGAAAATATTAAACTTGTTCTTCCTTCTTTGCACTTAGTAAGATTTTCATATACATCAATGGCTTCTTTAGAGTTTGGAACAAGGCTCAGATGCCTGGTGAAGCTTGTTAGTCCAGCACAGGTCCCAAAACTTTGTCATTCAATTATATTAATGGCTGATTTTTTTCCCCTCAATATGTGTTTTCCCCTAATTTAAGAAAGCATTTTCAGTGAATATTAAATATAGAAAGCATACACTTTTAGATCTTGATATCTGTCTAATTCCACTGTTTTCTTTGGATTTTGTTTTTGGCCTTTCTTCCAAACTGCATACTTCAAATTATTTGAACACAACAGGTTTATGCTGATTTTTCCCATTCAGCGTTTATTTGACTCCTACATTTAGAAATTTCACCTAAGTGTGTGATTGTGCTATCATAAATTTTTGTGTTCATTCAGTCAGTGGTTTTTGGTCATCTGCTATGTGCCAACCACTATTAATGTTCATAGAATTGTCCTTTGTGAATAGAATGTGCTCTGGACTTTTAATGATGCCCACAGAACTAATCTTTGCTGGTGATTTTCTGTAGTAAGGATGTGGTTGTCCAAATTACCTCTGTTGGTGGTGGTGATGTTTGGAGAATGTGGTCTTTGCATACAGACAAAGAGCTAAAAGGACTCGATGCCTTCATTCAAGCCCTTTTATAAAAGTCATACTGCTTGTGCCCCAAAGAGAAAAACAAAGAAAAATGACCTGTGTGTGCACATGGTAATGCTGTGATACTAGTTACAAGAGCTAAGAAAAATACTGACCTTGAAGTACAAAGTTTAGGTAACCAGGTAGCTTGTGAAGGAGTGAACAAGTAAAGAGAGGAATTCGGTTATTGGATATTTGATCTGTTCACATTTGTGAGGCAGTCAGCGCTTGACTTTTGAAAACAAAAAGGACAAAGTACAAAAGAATGTGTTTTCATCAATTAGTAGGCCAACTCACAGTAGATTAAATTGAAAAGTGAAAGGGAGAAATAATTGCCAAGCTAAAAATTGTTTATTTAGTGGGCAGCGAAGTGGCACAGTGGATAGAGTGCTGGGTCTGGAGTCAGGAAGGTTCATTTTCTTGAGCTCAAATATGGCCTCAGACACTGACTAGCTGTGTGATCTTGGGCAAGTCACTTAACCTTGTTTACCTCAGTTTTCTCATCTATAAAATGAGCTGGAGAAGAAAAAGTGGCATACCACTCCAGTATCTCTGCCAAGAAAATCCCAAATCAGGTCACAGAGAGTCGGACAGTACTGAAATGACTGAACAACCACCACCCCTGGCTTTTGAAAACAAAAGGTACAAAGTACAAAAATACGTTTTCATCAGTTAATAGAACAACTCACAGTGGATTAAAGTGAAAAGTGAAAAGGGGAAATAATTGCCACTGTCCTCACTATTTTTATTCTTTATGTAATACAGTATAGCTTTTACAAAGTAATATATGTGTTGGGTTTGAATTAAGTAAAGGTCCTTGCCAGAGCAAAATTTTTGCCTTATGTTTGAACCAGTTTAATGAGCAATAAAGGTTTATGCTTTCCTGTGTTCCCTCACAGGAAAGTTGTTTTAATTAGGAAACTAGATCATTTGAACTCTGCAGAAATGCTGGTTTCATGAACCCAGCTGAATGGCTCTTACCGCTGAATTTTAACAAAATTGTTTCTATCCCTTCTTAAAATGTGTTTCCATTGCAGTATGTCTTGTATAATGTAAACAACGAAAACAAATCCCATACCTAAGAAAACCTAAAGTAAACGTTTTCTCTGATGCAGGTTCGAGTACCTTTTTAATTTTGACAACACTTTTGAGATCCATGATGATATAGAGGTGTTGAAGCGAATGGGAATGTCTTTTGGCCTGGAAACAGGCCAGTGTTCACTCGAGGACCTGAGAGTTGCTAAATCATTGGTGCCAAAGGCGTTAGAAGGTTATATCACCGGTAAGATGTTTTAGAATAATTTTCCCTGAGAAGACTAAAATTCAGTAACTTTCCCAAGCCTTTTCAATGTCCTGTTATTTCCAGGTGCCATTTAAGCAGTGAGTGAAAGATAACAAGATCTCCCTAATGAATGATATAAAGAAGATAGAGAAAAGGTTCGGTGATCAAAAAAGTGGTAGGATTTCTGCCTGAGGACAAATAAGAAATCTTGAGTCTGAATAGATGAATGCCTAAGAGAGGCTAGCACCAAAGTTTATAAAACTGGAAAAGATAAATACGGTTCACTTTGTTGTCCACACTTTTAAAGCTTATAATATGTTGACAAAGAAAAGATTTTTTTGGTGTGCAAAAATTTCCCTAACCAGCAAATTTCTTTGAAGTAAGTAAATGGTTTTAGGAGCAGAAGGCCTGGTTTTCAAAGGAAACCTGTCTCTTTTAATGTTCATTTTAAAAACAGCAGTTATTCCTAAGATTATTTTCTTACAATCTCATTAGTTTAGGATTTGACTAATTTAGAACGTGTGATAATTCCTCAGCCTGGGCCCGAATTTGCCTTGGGTTTTCTATGATAAACAATTTGATAAACTGAGTGATAGTGAAAGTAATGTTATAGAATGACTATACAATCTATTTAAGAAAACAAACTTTTAATATAATAACTAACACTTTAAGGTTGGTGAAGTAATTTACTATACATAAGGCTGACTTACTCAGGGTCACATAGCTAGACAGGGTCAGAGACAGGATTCAAATGCTCCTCTTCCTGATTCTCTATCCATTCCACCATGCTGCCTCTTCATATTCTAACAGTATCCCTTTGCCTACAGTGTGCTGATTACTAATGATTTTATTAATCTCTTCATTATTAGGAGTGCTACTAACACCTTGTAGAATCACTGTGACCTGAGTTTGTGTTAGTTTATACGTAAAAGCATAAAGATTGTATTACTTTACCTTTTAAATGTCCTGTAGTTCAAAACTGAACACTCTCTGCTTACTCCAAGGGTTTAGTGTACAATTTGATATAAACTAAAGTTTTGGGCTCCCCTTCTTTTATTAATATTATGACTGCAAGTGTTAGGCATGACCCTTATAATCACAATCATATTAAAGATCATCTAGGTATTTTGTGTATGAGGCCACTGAGACCCAGATGGTAAAAGTGGCTTGTCCCCAGAGGCATGGCTACTGAAGGGCATTTTGGTCGTTCTCAGATGTCTCAGATGTAAGTGAAGGGTTTTGTTTTGTATTTTTAATCAGGAAAGAGCATGTCTGTTGGTACTGTGAGAGTTGTTTAGTTTTTATTTTAAAATATAAGGAACTGCATCAAGCAAGCATCGGAAGCTCTTCAGTTAGCCTGTTTTTAGTCCTTTTGCCTAAATTCTCTTCCCTCCCAGCTCTCTGTGGGATTGTTGGGCTGTTCCACCTCCTAACCACAACCTGAGTTGGCACCCTAGTCACACTGGCATTTCAGCAGTGGGCTGAACAGAGAGCTTTAGTCAGTACACCACCAGAAATTCACTCTAGTTTATTCTCAGTCATAGGCCCCAGGGAGATTAGGCAGGCAGGTCCTGTTGTTTTGACTTGTTCCTGACCTCATCTGCTGGCTGGGGCTGAGATATGGCCGTTTTAACTCCAATTTTTTTTTAATTCATGCTTTTTTCAGTTGCAAAGGGACATGAATAATTGTTTTGCAGTTTGCTTGTACAAATAAGCTTCCTTTTTTTATTTTTAAAAGCACTGCAGCAAAGGAACAGATTTGTCACAGAGCATTGCATTAATGAATGCTGGCACAAGTCATTCAGCTTTATGATACGCTCTTTGCATTGCTAGTATTTCAAAACAAAGGTTAAATGAAGATGTGGCCGTATATTTACGTAAGATATAGACTTAGAGCTGGGAGGGACCTTCAGCCTCAGAAACCATTGACCCCAACACCTTCGTTGAAAAGAGGAAGAGACTGAGGCTCTGTGAGGTTAGGGGACGTGCCCAGGGTCACCCAGTAAGTGTCAGAGGCAGGGTTCAAACATGTCCCTTGCCTTCAAGCCCTCTGCTATCCATTATCCCACCTAGCTGCCTCTAGTTTGCTTCCCAAACAAGTAATAGCCTTTTTGACTGAAAGTTACCATAAATCTCAGAATCAGAATCTGACTTCAGTTTGTCTGCCTTGTTGAGACTTGTTTTTATTTAACTTACCAAAAGTCAGCTATTCTGAGACCTTAAGTCTTACGCAGCTGTCTGATTTATTTTATGAGAAAATGAGGTTAAAATTAGTGTAGTCATCTTGTTTATCTGTCCACATGGAAGAAACTCCCACTTGGTCAAACAGGAACAGTACAAAATGCTTGCATCCTAATTATATACCCAGTAATAAATAGGTTATAGATTTCATTGTCATTTGTGTAATTGAAGTGAGACTTGGACAGACAAAACCAGAGAACCTCATATTTTGGCAGATAAAACTTTTAGAATGAACCTTTGGTTTGTCTTTTATGCCCTTTTCTAAATTTGGTTAAGGAGAAACCTTTTTTTTTTTTTTGGTGAGGCAGTTGGAGTTAAATGACTTGTCTAGGGTCACACAGCTAGTAAATGTCAAGTGGTTATCTGGTCTGAGACCAGATTTGAACTCAGGTCCTACTGACTCCAGGGCCAGTGCTCTATCCACTGCGCCACCTAGCTGCCCTGAAGCATTTCTAAAAGGAGAAAATGCTATCACTTTTGCCAGCTTTCTCAGTGATATCATATACTGTAAAACTCTTACTTCTTTTATCTTAATCATGTCTTCCTCACTTCCCTTCCTCTAGTCAAGAGCAGTCTCTAGAAGGGACTGCTAAGGGGCCCTCTAGGACCTGAGGTGATTGTCTGTACAATCAGAAGTGAGGCTTTTGAAGCAGTGAGCTCAAACCACTTTGATGTAGTGGCCCCCTCACCCATGTGCATGCTGATGTATTCCAGTTTTAGAAGTGCACAGCAAAGAAAGCAAGGAATAGTAGTAGTTAAAGTTTCTGATTGATAGTTTACATTTCTATAATGCTTTAAGATTTTCAAAGCTCTTTGCTCACAGCCCTATAAGGTTGGTTGGGAGTGTGTCATTATCACCAGTTTATAAATAAGGGATTGTTCTGGAGATGTGGTGACTTTTTAAAAAGCTGCATTTCCCAAGGACGCACAGGGTCTTGCATTTGCAGACACAGGTCTTGATTCCATATCCACTGTTCTTCCTATTTTGCTACACTGCTTTTCATTAGCAAGATTAGTAAAGGCCCTTTCATCCTCTTCTCTGGCATTCTGATAAGATGCTTAAGCACAAGCTGTATTGTGGCCAACTGTCCAGGTGGTCAGCCTCCTTTCAAGTGCTCTTTGTATCTTTTCACTTTCCAAACCAGAAAGACTGGTTTGGACTTGATGGTTTATTTTTTAAATGCAAACCAGATCCAGAAAGAACTGTTTACCCCTTAAATTCAAACTATTCCTTAAGCAGATGCTACCATTATAAGTGCCATTGTGGTAGACGTTTCTGAAAGCAAAATAGCTTTCAGGTCCCCAGCAAATTGCCCATTTTTTTAAAAATGGCACACTTTTTTATTTTTTAAATTTTTTGGCTAGGCAGTGGGGTTAAGTGACTTGCCCACGGTCACACAGCTAATAAGTGCTGTGTGTCTGAGACTGGATTGGAACCCAGGTCCTCCTGAATCCAGGGCCGGTTCTCTATCCACTATGCCACTTAGCTGCCCCATAAAGTTTTTTCTTGTTTTTTTGTTTTGGGTGTGTGGGGGTGAGGCAGTTGGGGGTTAAGTGACTTGCCCAAAGTCACACAGCTAGTAAGTGTCAAGTGTGTGAGTCTGGATTTGAACTCTGGGCCTCTTGACTCCAAGGTTGGAGCTTTATCCACTGCGCCACGTAGCTGCCCCCTATTCGCACACTTTTTAAAAGCAGTATTCTATAGGAAAGAAAATAACTTATTAATAACATTACCAGCATCTACTAAGGCCAAATGACCTTTACAGTGATGTAGAATAATCAGTGATTATCACATTAGTGCAATATTCATATTGATTTGAGGATAGAATCTACCTATGTGCATCTGTTTTTGTACTAAATTAGATTTCTGCTTTAATTTGAAAAGTCTAACCTTTCATACCTAAAGCTTGACTTTGCAGACTTACTAAATTGTTATCTATCATCAACATTTAGTACAGAGGAAAATTGTAGTCCATGGCAAAGACAGCAACCAAATGTCTTAGAACAATACCACTTGATAGCAATTCTCGTTCGGCAAAACAGTCAGCTGTTTCAGGAATGCTCATATTCATTAACAGAATAAAACTGATATTTTCAGCTTTGTTTACTGCCAAATGTAGAAGACATTTGATGTCACAAGTAAGAGAGTTTGCCATATGGATATTGGGGGTTATTATACCAAAATTTATTAAGGAAATTTCTTTGCATGTATAAGTGAAACTTGATGTTACATGAATTTGTGAATATATGCCTTTGGCCACTTAAATTCTTGTGTTTCATTATCCACTCCCTAAATTGGAGTAGCATGAGTACTTAAATTGCTGTAGAAAATGACTTCAGGTTATCTGAAACTAGGTCCCAGTGACTTCAAAAACTCCTTATTTTCATCTTTTTTTTCAAACATTTTTGTGGAACCCTCGAGGAAGGGTTATTTTCTCACTTAATACCATCTGTATTTGTACATTATATAAAAACATATTTGCACAGGAATTTTATTGTATTCCCTGACTTGCATCCTTTAAGGCTGACTAGTTATATAAACTTGGATAAGATACTCATCCGCTTCGGGCCTCAATTTCTACCTCATCAAAATGGGGGTGGGGAGTAGGGCAGAACTAGATTATCTCCAACGTCCCTTGTGATTTTAACATAACATGATTCTCTGCTTGTTGTCAGGAAAAGATTATATCTTCATAATTATGAGTATTTTAATTGAGTTTGATCAGGAGTACTTTCTTCCTCTCATTCTCTTTTATTTACTGTTGTTTTCCTTCAATAGATTGTAAGTGTCTTGAAGACAGGGACCATTTAATTTTTGTCTTTGTGTACCAATTCCTAGTACATGGAAGTAACTTTTAATAAATGCTTCAAAACTTTATTGAACAAATATTTTATAGGATGTATAACATTGTGGACGAGTGCGAAAGAAGTTAATTTTCAGCCCCATAGTTCCCTATGTCTCCTATCCCTTTAGTTAACTTTTTACTTTTTAGTCTGTGTATTTTTTTTAAGGCAATTGGGGTTAAGTGACTTGCCCAGGGTCACACATATAGTAAGTGTCAAGTGTCTGAGGCCAGATTTGAACTCAGGTCATCCTGAATCCAAGGCCACAGCTCTATCCACTGTGCCACCTACCTGCCCCCTACTTTTTAGTCTGAAACTATGATATCATTAGTATAAGAAACGCTTGCCAACTCAATGATAGCTGTTTTGCAGCTGACAGTCTTAGAGAGTTGCCCAGGGCACTGAAGAGTTTTGTGCCCTTTACATTTTGTAAGGTCAACTTTGAACTCCAGTTTTCTTTACCTCTAAGGCTAGCTTTCTCCCCACTGTCCTACACTGCCTGTCTCAGCCTTTTTACTATTTTGATTTTCTTTTATTACTTTAAGTTTTATGACTGTCATTTATCTTTTTCTTTTCATGTACTCCTGGCTTTGCCTATTGACACCATTGTTCTTTTAGGTCTCTTTTTTTGGGGGTGGGGATAAAGAACCAAATATGGAAACTTTATCATATTTTGTTGGTGATCAAACTTGCTTTCTCTAAGAATAAGCTATTTCTTACTAACGTGTCAGTGGTCATAGAATTGGCTAGCATTTATTCAGTAGGACTCTTAATAACTTCAGTGGCAGTAGCCTAGAATGATTTGGGCAATTCTACTGGAAGTTTGGCTACAAGGAGACTTTTTGAAATCTTAACTTCCTCACATTTAGAATTTTAATTTGTTTTTTTCCTCCCCTATCCTGTGTTGCCCTTCCCCCCCCCAAAAAAAAGAAATAAGTGAATGGTAGATATTTTCTTTTTCCCCCAGTAATCTTGAGAGGGGCTTTCTCAGAGAAATGACAGGTAGATTTAAGGGACCCTCTTAGCTGCAGTTAAAATCAAGTTTATCCACTTACTTTTCCAGCCATTCTTAAGACTTGTAACGGTATCAGCCATGAAATTTGCACCATACATACTTCCTGTCTTTGTGGGTTTTTTTAGATATGTCTACGGGACCTTCATGGTTGAATCAGGGGCTACTTCTGAATTCAACCCAATCAGTTCCAAATTTAGATATGACCAGTGGTACCACTTTATCACAATCAAGGTAAGCTTCCAAAATATTTGTGTATAAACTCTAAAGTATGCACAGAACAGAAAGAGCCCGAGTCTTCCGTGGAGAGAGAGCAACAGGTCTTTATGACAACTTTAGAAGCTCACTAAAAGATCTATCTGTGGCCTTGCTTGAGCCAAATTCGCATTTATTCTTTTGTGTATTTATCGAAGCTTAAATATTCTACCTGGGAATTAATTGATATGTGTCTTCTTTTAATTATTTAATAGTATAAACCAAGGGTTTTGTTTGGATGCTGAAGTGGCCTTAGCAACTGGGCATTTCCTTGCCCCAAGTAGTCAGCAGTCGAGCAGTGCAACATCCCACTATTCAGAGTCCCGAGGCGAGACCCCCTGCTCTTTCAACGACGATGATGAAGACGAAGACGATGAGGATCCCTCATCCCCAGAATAAAGACAGTAGAAAAGCTAAATTTTACAGGATGCTGCTCGTGTGTGTGTTTTTAGTGTGAGCTCTTATTCTTGATGTGATTGCTTCACCTCTTGCCTTTGTTTGCACTGTGTATTCAGTGACAGTAAGTGAAACACAGCTAAAGACATCAGAGTTAAGATGATTAAGTTGAAAGTTAACATAATATGAATGAAGACTCTGGCCATACAAAGCACTAGGACACAGCGCAAACAAAGTGTATTTTCCTCTGTGAGTGAGGTAAAGAAATCCCTGAAGACCTGGCAGAGTGGAATGAGGTTCAGCTACCTTCTGAGATGTGGGACCATTGTCTTCTCCCACACCCTATCATTCTACTCAGAACTGAGAGTGCGACAAGGAAGATTCCTTAGCTAAAATACTTCCCATGCTCATATCTCTTGGCTGTACTGTTGTTAAATGCCAGGATGAATATTTACAGTTATGCTTTGTACTGTATGCGTGAGGTACCTAGAATGTTTGTTCACCTGAGTCTAGAAATCAAAGTCTTAAAGTAGTTCCGAGTGCTGACATTTCTTGAAGTAGCGGAAAGCCTGTTTAATGATGTATGTCACCTGCCAGCCACTTTAGACATTTGTCCGGGAGGTAGGAAAACCAGCTCAATAATTTTACTTCAGTGACACTTCAGATGTAATTTGTCATGTTCAAAAACGGGAATTAAGATAGTTAGCCAATGCAAACAAAAGAATTTATTAGGGCTATTTATGGAAGACAGAAGAATCTCTGATAGCATTTCCATGTATATGTTTGCCAGCACTGCCTTTTGCCAGTGCCTACAACGTTGGAATTTGACAGGAAAGTAAACTGTAGAAATAGCTTTAATCCAACTATTAGCCAGTGCAATTCAGCCAGGTGTTGTTGGTTTTTTTTTATTTAAAGCGAGAACAATAGAAAAACAACCAACTCCAGTTGTGAAGTGATTGCTTACATTTCATTTGATAGTATTGTCGTGTCAGCAAGTGTACAGTTTGTGAAACTGAAGCAGTTGACTTCAGTTTTGTCGTAAAAGAAAATATCTCAAAAAGATTAATTGGTAAGCCCTCCTGCACTTTTATGACTTAGTACATTTCATTAATCCCATTGACCTCTTAATCACATTGGACCCTTAATGAGTAAATTGCATCTCTCATGAACTGGCCCATATTTTTGTTTCATGGAAACGTCATAGTGTGTTAAATGCTTCCAAATTATTGGACTTATAGTAGGTACAGTGTTTCATAGCCAAAGATACTATTAGGAATACTACATTATTGAATTCTGTTTGTGTTTAAAAGAAAGAGTGCATGGGGAAGGAATCCTTAAATCACAAGTGTAAAAGATTCCTCACTGTGGTATTACAGCTGGGAGGAGGGAAGAGGGAGGAGGGAGGAGGCTCAGATTCTAGGCAAAAGCACACCTTTGTGCTGAGGAGCCCTTTGCTCTGCCCTCTTTCTACTATCATTCAAGTTAAATCTGAAGTCCAGGAAAACAGTAAAACTTAAACCCTTTAAAATCTCCCAATGTTAACTTCTATATATGTTTTAAAATGTGTATTCATCAGAAAAACAAATTAGATTTACTAGTGTTTTGGCAGTTTGGAGAACTCATATCAAACTACCAACAAAACTCTTATCCTGATATTTAACAGACATAATGTGATACCATTTTAAGTTGGAGAAATATCAAGGCCTCTACACTGTGGTATATACCATGTGGCTATCCAGAATATTAAAAATTAAGTAAATCCAATACTATTCAAAACAAAAAATATGAAATGTTAAATGAAGATTGATTTAAGGGCTGTAAATGCAATAACACTTCAATTTTGAAGAAGCCAAACAATGAAGGGAGAAATCATTTTTAGATGTTAATTTTGTGGGAGGCAAAGGAATGAATGATTCAAATGTTTTCTTTGATTGGGGGCTTATAACTTTGGTGTCTGTCAGCCCAGTTCAATTGCTGACCTCATCAGCTATGAATTGGATACTTTGTGGTAATCCTTTTTTAAGTTATAAGGGGTTTGGAAAAGGAAAGGATGTTTTGTAGCCCAGTGAACACCTAGGATGGCCTCAGAGTCTTTATCGAGGCTCAGAAACCCGTCAAACAAGGACAGAGGACATCAGGCTAGGTCCACTTGAGAGAATACTCTGTCAAGATTATGTAATTACTATAAGCTTTAAGTAGTTTAGGGGTCAGGAAGATGACATGGTGATGTGTTAGTTTTAGTGTCTTGAGCAGAGAATTCATCTTAGCATGGATTTGGGAAGAGACCTCCCAGTCAGGCACAACAGGAAGTGGCCATAAAGCTAAAAGGCTTCATCAAGCCCCACACCAAATATGTGACGTGTCTACATTACATGTTTCTGTGACTAACAAATTTGGGGTGGGAGGATGGGAGTGGAACCCAGGGATAGAAAACTGACTGAGTTATGGAATAAGCGCTTTCTTTCACTTATTTCAAACAGCATCCAGATATTTAGACTGCGTTAAAACAGACCCCCATCCCACTGCACCCCTCAAGAAAAGTCTTAGGGAAGAGTGCAGTACTGTTAGAACCTAAAAATGACTTTTAACATTTGTCCATTTTCAGAATTCATTCTTGTTCCCCCTTGCCACCATTGAACCTTTGCCTCAGCCGTTCCTTCTCTGCATCCAAAGCAGAACAGGCCTGGCTTGAATAAGATTGCTTTAGTTTCCACCAAAGAGGCTTAAAAGCAGCTGTGTTCACAGTTTGCCTCAACAGTGCCAAAAGCTCCCTGTCATCTAGACCTGTTAAACAATTATCAGGGCTTTTAAAAATAAAGCACTTGGTTGAATATCAAACCTCCACATGTTTATGGAAGCAATAATTTTTTCACCCACAGCATTCTGTGGAACCAGTAGCTTTGAGATCCAGCAGACTCTGGCAACCAACAAATTCGTAGACTCTCTTGACCTTTTGAGCTGGAGGGGACCTCAGAGGCCAAGACCAGCCCTGTCATGTTTCTGTGAGGAAACTGAGGCAGAGGTTAAGGGGCTCACCCAAGATTGTACAGCTGGAACTAGAATGTGGGTTTCTCTCTTAAATCATGTTGCCAGTCTGGGAAGAGGCTGTTCACAGTTTGCCTGACTCCCCTGAGCATACCTGATCAGGGGAAGAAGAGGAATAGGGAAGTGAGATCATCTTCCTATTTAGGCCTTTTTTGTGTGAAGGGAAGCTCTGGGCCGCTTTCAGAAGATGCCCAGTATCCAGGTACTTTGGCTCCAGAGGTGCCCTTCTCTCTAGCTTGTCACTTTACCTGTTGGCCATTGAGGGTGGCCCTCAGATACAGCACAGCCAAGGGCTTCTTTCTCTGTGAGTGCTCTGCTGTTAGTCTGACGAGACAGTTTCAGGCCTGCAGTGCGTCTACCTGAATTGTTGTGGAGGAGGCTTTTAAAAACTGCAGACCTCTTTCCACAAGAAAACACAAATCTTCTCTCTCTCTGTCACACACACACACACACACACACACACACACACACACACACATATGTGCATACATACATACATACATTGGCACCCTTGTAGCCACTGAGGCCAGATTTACGTAATGCTTGTTTTCCCTTGGTCTAAGCCTCTCTCTCCCTTCAAAGTCACGTTGTGTCCTGGTGATCACAAGTAGCTTCAGAAAGCATTGAATTTGAATGGCCTTGTCTTCATGGTTAGGTAGACCATGTGGGAGTTGGAAATGGTAATTCTAGCACATTGTTCTGAGGTCATAAGATAGAGCAGGAAGGGGCCTTTAAAGGTCTTATCCAGTCACTTCATTTGCTGTGTGAGGAAGCCGGCTCAGAAGAGTGGTCGGAGCAGTAGCAGAGACTAGATTTGAACATAGGCCCTGAGAACCCATACCATCCCTTGCCCCACTCTGTGCTGTTAGAAATGTGTCTCCTTTTTCCTGTGCTCTTGAGAGCGTAATTTCCCTAGACAATTTCATAAGTAAGTAATGCCTGTGTTCACTGCTTTCGTTTTCTTTACTGTCTAGTATTTTGTCACAAGAAGTTTGTTTACCCTATTAGAAAAATAAACCAAGTGACTCTACCTCTGTCTGCACTGGGGATATGCTGTTGGTCACCATCTGTCTGTTCCGGTAGCTTGTCATAAGCTCAATGTTCACAGACAACTCATTTAAGTGTTTTTTAGGAAGGAACAACTTTGTCAGTGTAGACATAGTCCAGTATAATCTGGGCATTAATCCCACTCCTTAATGAAGAAACGTGAGCAGGAAAAGACCTTGCAGACCGTCCAGTCTAATTCTCTCATTTAGCAAAGGAGAAAGTAGTTCCAGAGAAGAGCAGTGACTGCTTGGGCAGCGTGGCCGAGGAGGCCGTGCCAAAGATCCTGGTAGTGAATGATCTGATTACTTGACCTGGGACCTTGGAGCTGTAGTGGCTGGCATGGGGGCAGCATCTGCTTCTAAATAAGCCTCTGTAGCTAGACTTGAAACATTTTTTTTTCACCAACACTCCAAAAAGTGTGAGAGAGTTTAACTAGGATGAATGTTACACATTCAAAAACAAGTGTGGAGGTTGGAACTGTCTCCAGAGGCAGTCTCTGGGTGAACTGAAAATCAGAACAATAAGCGCCAAATAAATTGGGAAAAAATTCACTACAAAGTCCGTTTTGAACTTAAACTGTGATTTAGGTTACCAAAGTTCTGTTGATGCCCACCTCTTCATGAACACTTCTGTTGTATAAGAAAATGAACATCTATACCTTTCATATTTGGATGGTTCTCACCAAAAAGAAACTTGGGCATTGTGGACTAGTATAATTCAGTCTAACCCAGGCACAAATCCCACTTGTGAATAAATAAATGAGCTGGAAAAAATCTTAGAAATCATTTATAAGAGTAACACATATTAATATAAAATTACATCCTTTTAAAAGCCCAAACCTCAAATAGTTCCATAAAATCTGCTACCTAAAAAGTCCTTTGAACTCCAAAATGCATATCAGGCACATATATGCATATGTAGATATATATTGTATCTATATATGTGTGTATAATTTCTCAGGCTCTTACAACCATTTTAAAACAAGGTATCTTTGGAAAGCTAACAGCATTTTAGGTAGTTTAAAACAGACTAGTAGCTGCAACATCTACAAACCAAGAAATGTTTCAATATGTTTAAAAGTCTTAATCAGGAAACTTCTCAGTCGCCTGTTTTCTCCCAGATGGATCTATCGAGTTGGTATCAAAATGAAGAATTTCTCTACATAAAGTGTATCATCCTTCAGTTGCCCAGCTGTAATATTTTGGCACAAAGACAACCTACTTGAACTTGCATAGGAACTTGCTTTGTCAGAAGGGGGCGGGATCCACAAGGTCAAGTTATCTAAAGTAGTGTTCCATATAGAACACTTTGAATGTACTGCGGTATCCCATCAAAAGTTCATGTGGTTAATAAGCTTTTATCTAAAGCCTGCAGTGCAGGGCCTGAAAAGAAGTGTTATTGCTTACTTACCTTGTACCTACTCAGTGCAAGGCCCACTATCAGGATAAACCATGAATGACACATGGTCCTAGCCCTTAAGAAACTTCATTTGGTTGGTTTGGGTTTTTGGGTTTTTTTTTTTTATTGGCCAAGGTTATGACAGTAACAACACATATGATCAGAATTCCAGGAAAACTCAGGAAGCTTACACCCAACCCCAAAATGATGGCACAAAGTGGAAAGCCAAATATTTCTTCTTAGATTTAGTTGAAACTAAACAGTGACATTGGTTTTCCAAAAGGCACACCTTAGCCTTCTTACTATATACCTTTGCCCATGTATTTGAGAAGAAAAAGGTGGGGCAAGAGAACAAGATAGCACAGTGCCTTCTGTTTGCAGAGCTCTGCGATTTATACCCATGATATTCCTCCCATGAGCCCTGTGAGCACAGGCAGAGCAACTATATTATCTCTAAACTCAGAGTAACTGGCACAGAGTCACACAGCTAGTAAGTGACCAGTCTAGGACTTACAAAACCCAGTTTTGTACAAAACTTCCGATTCTCCTTAACATTTCCCTGCCAGACCCCCAAATAACAACCACTGTCCCACCCCAACCTCCAAAAAATAAAAATTAAGAGTGCTTTGTCAGAAAACTATTTGCCGCTGCTGGGAAATACTATTTGACGTTTGTTGTGTGTGTTCATACTATAATTTCTTATGCAAGTCCATGCGAAGAGGCCTGTAGAATTCATACCACTAATGCATTTCTAATTAACAAACTTTTCACCCTCTGGTTGGGGAACTGATGTAGAGATGAAAAGCAGCCAAAATACAGTGGGATTTAGAAAGAACTAACAAGTCCACTAAACCACCTGTGGACCATGATGGCCCTTTTGGAGTTTGCTGGCAGGCACCACACATTGCAGTGCTTCTATTGCGTGGACACCAATAGCACCAACAGAAAGGAGGTACTCACTGCACAAAGGGTTACACCAGAGATCTCATCTGTAATTGTTCTTTCCATTGAAAGGCAATGCAATGGATCCACGTTTTCAGGGAGTTTAAGAGACCTTGCAGATTCCTTCTACACAGCACAATTCAGGAATTTGCCATCAGTTTGTTTCTGTTGCCACCATCTTAGCGACAGCGTAGCTACCTGTTACCGCCATGGCACAAAACCCTTCTGCCCAGACAACATGTCGATTTAAAAACATACCATTTGCCAGTATCATTTACCTGTTGAGATTGTCCTGGATGTTTAGTCCCCTAAAAGGATCGTGCCAGTACAGCCAGGACATGTCAGGTGCCAGGGGCAAACGGCTCCATTGCACTCCATCACAAATGACGTCAAGGTTTCAGTGGTGTTTCTGTTGCTTATAACTGCTGTTAATGGTCAAGATCATCGCCTGCCAAAATACTCCCTTGAGACTTTCCGGTTCAGATTTTCCCATTAGTGCTTGACAGGTATAACCCTTCTGCAGGCCCTAAAAAATAAAATCGTCAACTATTCTAGCCAGCCATCAAGAAAGTCTGAGCGGCTTCCAGCAGATTTGTACGGCTGTGCATTCCTTCATGTGTTTTGTTTTTAGCTGCAACAAAACAGCTTGCTCTTGTTCCCCTTCCCCACCTTCCAAAATGCTGTTAAGAAACCATTGGTATTTAAGGACTGATTGTTGTTTGACATTTAATTTCTAATCATGTAATGTTAGGATTTACCATCACAGAGGATAGGTCCATTAGAAATTGTATGTGGTGGTGCCACTATCTGCTTTAAACCATTTTAAACACGAGCAAAAATATAAACGAGTTTTACTTTCCTAATGGGGTATCTGAACTAATATGAAATATTACTTTGTAGTATCACAGACTTTGTAACTAAATACCCATTATTTTTTTATGGAAAATTTTATAGAAGAGGCTATTTCTGTACATGCAACTAAGCCCATGTTTTCTGAAAGTGCTGCAAGGGGAGAGCAAACTTACGTCCTATAGGAGCGTGCCTTGCACAGAGTTGGTGCTTGGTAACTGTCTGTTGACTAGTGCAAAAATGGAATGTGGTTTCTACAGTGATTGAAAGTTGTGCTTACCATGGAGAAAGGACTGCATCAGATTGTTCTGTGACCTGAAGAAAAAAAATGTACTGTAGGAAAATAAATGATTTTAAGCAATTTGGTTTTGTATTATTATTTGAGAGGAGATGTAAGCGATACATTTAAAGATATCTTTTTAAAAATAACACGGGAAGTGATGATGGCTCATTCTCATTTCTTAGTGGGGGAGACTCCTAATTTTCTTTTACACTTAAACAGATCTGATGGAAGCAAAATCTCATGGACATGGCCAGCCTTTTTCAAAATAAAACCCTTCTCATCCAAGAAATAGTTTTCCCTTTCACTTTGTGCCATTAGTGAGGGGCAGGAGCTTTTAACACCTAAGGTCTGTGAACTTTAAAAACAAACATACATATGTATGTGTGTATTTTTGATAACTGCATTTCCTTTTTTTCCCTCTTAATAGCATTTTTTTTCAATTACACATATAGTTTTCAACATTCACTTTTGTAAGATTTTGAGTTCCATGTTTTTTCATTCCCTACCTCCTCTCCCACCTCCTCAAGATGGCAAGCCATCTGATATAAGCTATATGTGTAAAATCATATTAAACATTTCTACATTAGTCGTGTTGTGAAAGAAGAATCAAAACAAAAGGGAAAAAACCACAAGAAAGAAAAAAGAGAGAGAAAATAGTATGCTTCGATCTGCATTCAGACTCCATAGTTCTTTCTTTGGATGTGGACAGCGTTTCCCATCATGAGTCTTTTGGAATTATCTTAGACCATTGCATTGCTGAGAAGAGCTAAGTCTATCAAAGTTGGTCATCACACAGTGTAGCTGTTACTGGATATAATGTTCTCCTGGTTCTGCTCACTTCTTTCAGTGTCAGTTCATATAAGTCTTTCCAGGTTTTTCTGAAATCCTCCTGCTAATCGTTTCTTATTATAGCATGAGAACATTCTATTACATTCATATACTACAACTTGTTCAGCCATTCCCCAATTGATGGACATCCCCTTAATTTCCAATTCTTGGCTGCCACAAAAAGCTGCTATATTTTGGTACATATGGGTCCTTTTCTGATTTTTATGATCTCTTTGGGATGCAGACCTAGTAGTGGTATTGCTGTATCAAATGGTAGGTACATTTTTATAGCCCTTGGAGCACAGTTTCAGATAAAAGGGTTTGTTCTGTGAAACTTGGACTCAATTAAAAGGCCACACCCAAGGACCTAGAAGGAAATGTATGGCCTTGAGGCCACAGGTTACCCACCTCGGATAACTTATTCCAATAACTCCATTTCAGTATAATGTACTCCTTTGTAATCCCATGTATTTTATGCCTTTAGAAATATTCTGAGTCTGTAAGCTTCACCAGATTTCCTATGGGATCCATGCCACACACAAAAAGGGTAAGAACCCCTTAGTTAGACAATCTGTAGGGTCCCTTCCTCCCTAAATTTTAATTCCAAGTGAAAATGTCCATTCTAGGATATTTTTTCAACCCTCATTTTACTTGGTGAAATATACTGGTTTTGAGACATTGAAGTTTTAAGTCTTCGTCTTTAGCAGTTGTGGTTAATCCTGACAGTGTCCACAAAGAAGTACATTCCACACATCTTTCTTTTTTAAAGGCAGTTGGGGTTAAGTGACTTGCCCAGGGTCACCAGCTAGTGTCAAGTGTTTGGTCTGAGGCCGGATTTGAACTCAGGTCCTCCTGACTTTAGGGCCGGTGGTGTATCCACTGCACCACCTCGCTGCCCCCACACACTCATCTTTAAAATAGATCCATAGCCACCTTTTATTTTTGCAACACTGTAACAGTTGAACCTCTGCAGTGGCAAAAATAACTAAGCAAGTGGGGTAGCTAGGTGGTGCACTGGATAGAGCGCCGGCCCTGGAGTCAGGGGGACCTGAGTTCAAATCCAGCCTCAGACCAAACACTTGACACTAGCTGTGTGACCTTGAGTAAGTCACTTAACCCCAATTGCCTAAAAACTAAAAAAATAATAAAATTAAGCAAAAATAACTGGTAGTGACCAGATCAGAAAAGGTATACCAGATTCTACCATAATAGTCCCTGTCTCTCACTTTCTCTTCAATAACTAAACCAAGTGCTTTTTAACATAGTAGTCATCCTGCTGTGAAACTATAGTGCCTTTGCTATAAGCTCATCCTTTCTCTCTGGCCATCTGCTCTTTAGTAACTAACCTAGAACTCCACCTTAGGCTGAGGAAAGGAAGTGGTTCCATGAATAGTTTAAATTCTGTTCCCTCATGTACGTGTTCCTCAAGTGCTTTTCACCTTTTTTAAAGGCAGTTTAGGTATTAGCCAACAAAATGGGAAATTTCTGTGCTTTATCTTCACACCAGCTGGAAAATAACAATGAAGATAATAGCTGACATTTTTTAGAGTATTTAATATTTGCAAAGAACTTTGCAGGTGTTACCTTCTTGAGATGAGCCTTGTGTCAGCTCTGACAAGTATTAGAGGTATTTTTATCCCAATTTTATTGGTTAACTGAGTCTCAGAAAAGTTAAGTGACTTGATCAGAGTTACATAATTAGAAAGTGCCCATGGCTAGTTTGGAACCCAAGACTCCTTGATAAGATTCAACCCTCTTATCTTTCATCCCCTTCTAATTCTAGTTCATTCTGAATGGGAGCTAATGAAAACAATCTACCATTTTCAGCTTTCACATCAGAAGAATGGCTAATGGTTCATCAGTTTCTGGCTAGATAAAGTCTTGGAGAAAGGAGCTTGCCTTTTCAAATACTGGATTGAAGATTCCAGCTTCAGGGGCTTTAAACCAGAAGTATATAAGCCGTTCTGATAGAAAAACACCCTGAGGTAAAGCAAGCATAAACTCTAGATTATCCAACCTCAGATCATCTACAAATCAACCACAAAAAATACTCCATAATCTGGGCTTTTATTTAAAATGGTGCCATTCCTATACATGCTGCTGGTCTAGCCAGGAGCTTTGTTGAGGCTTGCTTTCCCACCCATGGCCATGTGTCTGACCTTCACACTAATTGCATCTGGCATTGTCTGATCTTCCTTTCAGGGTCAATTCCTATTAGATTCTTTAAACTGCTCCAGCTTCCATTTTCTTTGGCTTTCCTCTTTGAATTCCTGCTTCGTCCTGCCTTTGTACTGTCTGTTGTTTCATTCACTACGTTCCCACCTGCCTATACCGTCTTCCTTCTGAATGAGGCTGGTTTTCCTGTTTTTAGTCTTATTTCTTCAAGTAATAAATAAGCTCTTCTCAATTTCTTTGTTCTTTATGAGAGCTTTCTAATACTTGTTGAAATACGTTTCCTTTATCAAAAGACTAATTCTTGGATGATGAAATGTCTGTTATTCCCAATCGTGTGATTCGGGGTGATCCAGTCCTATAAAAATAATCTCACTGAGTACAGTGTAGCATTAGTCAACATCTGCTACCTGGTATGCAGGAGGTTCTGTACAAGTTACCAGAGCAGTTCCCATTGTGGGATGTGCCTGGGCAGTAGCTTCATCCACCTCCTTTGTCTTCTCCTAAAGCACTTTGACCCATGTTGCCCAGGAACTCTTGGGTTCTGCTCTCTTTGGGCCCAAATCCAAGGTCAGTTATTTCCCAAAGCCTGAATCCCTTTAGGGATGATGATGTGTTCATACACACAGACACTCTGTGGCCTTTCATTTATCCTGGAACTTCTGGACTTCTTCCCAAGAAGTACATTTGAAATACTCATCTCCAGAGGAATGATGTTCTGATTCGTCTTGTAGATTGTCCCCAACGTCTTGAACAAGGTAAATGTCGCTGTTACTAGGAAAGCAGGTACAGCAAATTGTACGTGAGGAGTAACTCACCCCAGCCTGCTATCTGAAAGCTACTTTAGCTAATTATTCTTGCTAATGAGGTGCTAAGCTTAGTTATTTCTACCAGAATAAAAGACTGCAAATTTTCATCAGTACCCAGTAGCAAAGCCTAAGTCACCTTACCCAAGTTTAGGCTCTGAGGGAAAAGGCTTTGACTTCTTCAAAGACTTTGACTTTCTTTCATATTTTTTTTAAAAAGGTGTGTGTACTTTTTATTCGGAACTTAAACACAAAATAAAATGAGAATTTTGATATACATAGTAAAAATAAAGATTACACATGATACACTGAGTCTGTTAGGTACAGCTTGCTTTTCCTCTTAAGTATATAATAAATTCAGCATGTTACTTTCAAAACTGTCCAGCTTGTCTGTGTTTCCTTCTGAACTTCCTTCAGTGCTCTTCTGTGCATTTTTTAATGCTTCCATGACCCTTTTATCCTTCCTTTTTTTTTTTTGGCTATCCTATCACTACTCTTCTTTCCCCATTGAAAAAGAAGAAAACCCTTATAACAAATACGTATTATCAAGTAAGAAGATTGCCTGCATGTGTGTATCTTATTCTGCATTCTCTGTAAGGAGGTAAGCAGAATGCCTTACCTTTGGTCCTCTGGAATCATGGTGGGTTGTTGTGTTGATTAGAATTCTTAAATCATTCAAAATTATTTCTCTTCATGCTGTTATTACTGCATAATTAACCCTTTGTGCTAATGTAATAACTTCCTAACGCATCTTCCTCCTAAGGCCTTCCTTTTTGCTGCTTCTGTCTTCCTTAGACATAAATATGGTCATGTCATTCCTCTGTAATCCTTGTCTCTTGGTTAAGTCTCCCAGCTTCCACTTAGCTGCCAGAGTGATCTTCCTAAGTGCAGCTGTGCTTAACCTATTACCCTCTACTTAGTAAACTCCTGGGGTCAAATATAAAGTCTCCTTTTGGGCTATAAAGGCCTTCATAACCTTTCTCCTTCTTAGACCCTTTCCCCCACTCATACTAAGTGTGATACTGGCTCTGTTGTTTCTCCTGCAAGACAGTCCATCCCTATTGCCTGTCCATTTTCACTGTGTCCCGTACCTGGAACTCCCTCCCTCCTCGTCTACCTCCTGGCTTTCCTGGTTTCCTTTTTGTCTCAGTTGAAGTCCCAAGAAACCTTTTCCAGTCCTCCTTCATCTTAGTGTCTTCACTGTGATGCTACCCACAATTTACGCTGTATATATCTGATTTGTACGTAGTTGTTTACATGTCTCACCCGTTA